ATGAACTGTTTCAGAGGAGTGATCATGCTGCTCTAGACGCGCTGCACACAGCATGCGCTCTCATGTGTTTTGAAGGTTTGGTTTCGAGGGGTGGTTTGAAGGGAGAGGCATGGTTGTGCATGTTAAAAAATATAGCTTGCTGGAACCGTTTTTCCAACCTCTCCTACAGCACCTTTAATTAGGCTTCTATTTGATGGGCAAAGTAGATCATTTGCATGAAGAGAAAAGAAAGTGATTTATGATTTTTAAAAACATGCTTGAAAAACATAAAAAGTAATTTTAAAAACAGTTTCATTTAGTCTGACATCCCTAAATAAAATCCAGACATACTGAATGGCTCCAAAGGGCACATATTTCTATAAAACTATACACAATATAATCTCAATAAAACTACAGCCGTTCTCCAAGTTTGACAGATAAGTGTAAGACAGGGAGCTAACACGTGAAAGGAGCAGCTCTGGTTAGACAAAAATAATCCACATGGTGAAGCATGGTGGTGGCAGCATCATGCAGCACAGATACCTCTGAGATGACGGGTAACTCACCTGTTTGACAGCATCCAGCAGCCTCTCCAGGAGGTGCTGTCTCTTCTCATCACTCTGCTGAGTGCCTGAAGGGAAACAAAATGGGACAAGCTTAGAAGGACAGTGATATTCTGATGCCCCGTTCTTTAAGATTGATTGATTTCATAAAAAATGAAAAAAAAACTTAGAAAGATAACATTTTTAGACCATAAAATGTGGCCTAAAAATTATCCCTCTGAGTTCCTGTTACAAATGTGCACAAATTATGTCAGTATTTTACTCATTTCAAAAATGCTGAGTTTTGAAACTGTGGTATTTTCATTAAATAACAAATACAGTGACAATTGTATGCCAGTGTTTTTTTCCATGTGATAACTTTTAAACAAACAAAAAAACATGGTGGCAGCAGATGTAAACACATAAGATATATCCATATTTCCGCCATGCCTCTGGTGGGCACCATCATCCTAAAACTACTAACAGTCTTCTTAGTTTTTTGTGCACAATATAAGAATTTCAATATGGCCGACAAAAACCACTTCATTGAAGCAAGAAAAAAAATTATTTTATCAAAAACATTTTTTTATTTTTTTTTTAAATTACAGAGTCTCCAGCATATGTGTTTTCCTAATTACAGTTTGTGCCATTTGATGGTTAATTTAAATGTGGTAGTGATGGTTTTCTACAATAATACTCAGCCATTCCTGTCTGCTTTGGCCCTCAGCTGTTTCCTTATGAACAGCCCTGACACAGCTGCAGAGAAAGCAGGTCGACAACTTTTATACAATTTACTCATAATCTGCCTTTGACCTTATGTCAACAAAACTTTCATTTTTAATTACAATTAATTTTTTTTATATAGGAAGAGATCCTAGCAGATTCACATTTTAGGAACAAACTACAGGACTTAAGTAAGAGCAGAGGGCTGTTTATATTAAAGGACTGGTTATCCTCCCGCAGCAGTGTGTTGCAGTGAGCTTGTCGCAGATATTTTTGATTGAGTCGTAGAGTGGAATAACATAGCGCATACCACGCTTCAAAATTGGGCATAAATCAAAAATATCTGCGACAAGCTCACTGCGACACACTGCTGTGGGACGATGACCAGCTATTTATGCCCAACTGCAGCCCAGGGCAACGCAAGAGGGACGATCACGAACTAGCTGTGGGTCTAGATACGGCAGAGGCGGTGAGGAAGTGGAAAAATGCAAGGGGCAAGATTGTGGAATAACGGAGGGACATGAGGGTAAAATAGAGCGGAGATCCAGGTGGAAGGGTCCCGGCATTCTTGCGCACTTTGCTCTTCTAGCTGGTCCAACTTCACAACTCGTTTTCCACAATGGCGGTCATACAAACAAAACAAGCTGGTAAGGTACCAAACAGAAAATACGCATAGTGTAGAGCTGATGTAGATTTGACCAATCATATGCCTCCTGTCTGCTGTCACCTACAGTTTTGGAGAGGTGCAGCAGAGTGTCTGCAGAAGGGGCGAAGGGATACATTTGCATTCACTGCAACACAGATGCAGACGAGCCTGGTTCTGGTTGAGGTTTCTTCCTGTTAAAAAGCATTATTCCTTTCCACTGTTGCAGCATGCATGTTCAGTATGAGGGATTGCTGCAAAGTCAATAACAGAGACTGGCAACTCTTCCTTCATGCACATGCAGGAGTGAACTCTGCAATTAAACGACAGGATGCAATCTTCTAGGTTTCCTTACAAAACTTCTTCGTCCTTCTGGATGATCTGATTATTTGTTTACAATGCTTCCCTGCACACCTACAGTCAATTAATGGCATATTGACAGACTTTTTCTGCACTCCAATTATCTAAATCAGGCGTGTTAAAGCAGGGAAGCATTGTAAACATGCAGGGAAGTGTGCTTTAGGAGCAGTGTTGAAAGAAATTCTGCAGAGAGCACATGTTGTGTGAATTAGAGCTACATGAACATAGCCTATTGTATTAAATTAAATATATTTGTTAAAGTTACAGTTTTCAAGACTGTTAATTGAGCTCTTTGTTGTGGATCTGTTCCAGTCATGGATTGGATCTATTTATTTAATGTCAATATCAGAGTTACTCATTGGGCTGCAGTTGGACATTAACTGTTTGCAGGAAGTAGCTGCAGCTCTGTTTTCATAGCTGTAGACAGGCTGCTGGAGCATGACATCTCATGACTGCATGAGGCTGATCTCTGACAGGAACAAACAGGGAAACTCACCGTTCATTTTCACACCCGAGCTCCAGCAGCGGGAACAGCCCGACCGAAATGCCTCTGCTCATCTCCCAGAAACGGCTCCAGGTCAGCGGTGCACCGGCTCCATGCTGCAGCCGAGCCGGGCCCACCCTACAGCGGCGTGAGAGCTGATGCTGCCTCGGTGAACAGAGAGGCCTGTCAGGAAGCCGCAGAGATGTGATAAGAACCGTCACCAAACCGGTTCCGAAGCAGAACTTAGAGCCGTTTCATCCCCTGACTACCAAGCGGCAGGACGCTTCGGTACCGAAAGGAAAAGTTATCAGAGTAATAATCTGTTCTGCCTGTGACACTGCGAAAAACTACAACCGACCACTGATAACGCGGCTCCGCGGTCACATGACCAAACACACAACGGTCATATGATAGCAAAGGCTGCTTGGAATTGTAGTTTTTATATATTTGAAACAGTTTTCTGCGTTATTTCAATAGTTTGATGTACTGCATAATACGGAAGAGGATTAGGGCCACTGAAAACATTTAAAAAGTTAACTGATTTTTAAATTTTATTTCAGTATATTCGGACTTTTTTCTCATAAATCGGAAATCTTAGAAAAAAGTCAAAATTCTGAGATTAAATTCAGAAATCTGAGATTAAAGTCAGAGATCTTAGAAAAAAGTCAAAATTCTGAGATTAAAGTCAGAAATCTGAGATTAAAGTCATAAATCTTAGAAAAGAAGTCAAAATTCTGAGATTAAAGTCAGAATTCTGAGGAAAAAAAGTCAGAATTCTGAAATCAAACTCAGAATTCTGACTTTTGTTCCCATATTAAACTGAAATGACATTTAAAAATCAGTTAACTTTTCCTTTTTTTCAGTGGCCCTAATCCTCTTCTGTACGTCACAAAACCAATTTCGCAGAGTACATGTCAGATTAAATAATACTACTTCAGCGATAAATTCAAGGTGTTACTTTATTGTATGTCTCGTACCATGTCTGTTGGTTGAGCTGTTCTTTTTACATCTCTTTGCAGGTGATGAAGCAGACTCAAAAAATTGTATCATTATCTCCCTTTTATCTCCTCTTTCTTTCATCTTTTCTCCTTTTTTTCTGTCTTTCCTCCTCTGTTCTATTTACATTGCACTGTCCATATAATCTGTAAAACTCCCAGCATAATTATAATAAAGTAATTTATATGCATAAATCAAGCGGAACACTATGGCAATAGCCCTACTGCTCCACTTGTGAAAGTAAAATCTGTTGGGCTTTTTTTGGCATCAAGACAATTATTCTTATTGCCACATCGCCAGATAGGACACCCATAAAAAAAAAAAAAATTAATAAAAAAAATTCACTAGTAGTTTTTGCTCCTACTGTTTTGATCATTTTCTGAAGAAATCCCCACTTAACCATGTATTAAATCAAATCATGAATAAATGAAAAAGAAAAAGATTCATTTCAAATTTTACCTTAAAATCATACAATTAGAAATGAAATTCTAAAGCATTTTAAAGTTTAATTCTCAAAGAGGAAATATAAATTGGATCTATTAAAAGGCCTATATTATTGAACACTGCAACTGAAAGTCTTTAATAAATACCTTTCCCAATTACACATTTAAAAAAATTATTCCTTATTAAATTTTTCTTTTTCTTTTTCAAATCATTTTTGCCTTTACATTTTCTTTTTTCTTTATTCCCCCATTTACCTTCTTCAAACCAGTTAAATTAATCACAGTTGCTCCTCAGGTGCAACCAGTAATTTTATAATATAAATGGTACATTTGCAATGTATGTTTCTCTTCAGTGACTCTCCTCGTCCTCTATGCTCACCCTCAGCCCTTTACTACACACTTGGTCAACAAAATGACCAGTGAGGTTGCTGGTTGCATCTGAGGAGCAACTGTAATTGGTTTAACTGGATGTCCCATTGTATGATTTAAATGTAACATTTGAAATTACCGTTTTTCTTACTAGTGACGCTTCTGGTCCTCCATAGAAATCCACATGACAACTCCACAGTGTATTTTATGAGTTTCATGTGACACCACAAGGCATGTTTGGGAAATGCTAGGAACATTTATATGGAACAGTAACAGACCAATAGATACAAATCGAAAAATTGTGGCGGGGAATTTTATGCAGTCACACTAGCTAATGGTTTGGAAAACTGAGTTTGTTTGTTTACATTTTGAAAAAAACAAAGAAAAAAAAAACAAAAAACAAATGCATAAATATACATTTGATTCAATTCAATTAATTACATTTTATTATTTGTGGGGTTTCTAAGGCATTTCCGTGCAATTTTTATGCATTTTCTGTTCACTACATGTGAGGGCTGTTTGGCTGATCAAGCAACTGAAGAAGTCATAAACCAATATAACAATCAAACAATTAAAATCATGAAGATTAGATATACTTAATCATTTCCAGAGGAGTGAATAAGATAGTTGCAGCAGCTGGATTGGTTGGATTGATTTACTTCTAGTAGGCCTTTGGGGGATAAATAAATAAAAACATTAAAAAAAACGTGGAAAAACCCACAAATACAAAGGGGAAAAATCGTACAAACAATAAAGTAAAGAAAAAGAAAATAATTTTAACAAACATTTTGAAAGAACTGTAAAAAATCCAAGAAAAATATATACGGATAAATCCTCACTCTAGACAAGATAAACAACACACACTCTATATCCATAGGAGGAAGCCATAAAGAGGTGAAGGCTGTATTTACAAAAAGTTCTGTTAAGCTGTTAACTTTTTAAGGGAGCCTGTAGTTCTGTATGCAACCATCTCATTTCTGCTTTTGATTACAGCTCACAGACATTCTCACATTCCAGGCTGGTTCTGAAAACAGAGGGAATGACTGAATGGATCCACCCTGATTCTGGGATTAATTTACATTCGAAGCTCCTCGATCTTCCTCCTTCATCAGCTGTGCCAAAAGCAGGAGCTGTATTTGTCTTGTTCGGTTTACCTAAACTTTGTTTCTCTATATTATCTTGGTTCTTTTACCAAATAAAAGCATTCTATACAAAAAGGGAAGTCACATTTATGCTGACATCTAACTCCTCATAAATATCAAATAGATGAAGAAGTAAAATAGCCAGTTGGAAAGCAAATGGATTAATAAATAAGGATGTAAATAAGGCATTTTAATGTTGTTTGACATATTTTGTGTAAAGTCTTATGAATAAGACATTGTTTTAATCCAGTCCACAATTGATAAAAAAAATTTTCCATCGAGAGGTGAAGCAGGCCCACAATCCAGAGTCCTGAATCCAGACATTAAATGAGAGGATGCTTGAAAAAGTAAGGATTTCAGAGTTTGAACACATATGGGAGTGTCTTCTTAGCGTTTAGAGCAAGTTGCTTGTGCTCTGAGTAGGTTGCAAGTACCCGTTTTGATCCCCACAGCCTACACTCTGGGTCCCTGAGCAAAACCCTTTACCCCATCCTGCTCCCCAGAGGCCACACAATGGCAGCCCAAAATGCAGACAGTGAATTTCCACATTGTGGGACAATAAAGGGATTTACATTTTTTTTTATTTTTCCTAACAGAGATCTTTGTTTTTCAGTTAAACTGAAAAGTTACATCATATGTCATTCACATGGTCTCATAATGGCATTGTGAAATCCACTGTAGATATACTCCTGTCTGAACACCGCAGGGTCCCGTTTTTCTCTCTGGACTTTAGAGAAAGAGTTCCTGGAAATTAAAGCAGCTCTGTGATCCTGACATCTGCCAGAGTTGCAGGAAGCTGGCAGCGAAAAATGCCATATTGTGCTAAGACTCTCTGCCACAACCTACTGGAGACTGTTGGGACTACTGAAGCCATCAAAGCATCACATTCAAATTACCAAAAATCCTCAGTTCATTTATTCTGAATACTTGACCCTTAGGGCCTACTGCTCTTTACTGTGAGCAGAATTTATTCCATCAGAGTAGAAAAGATTTACGGTTCAAACACAGATGAGAAAGACAGAAAATAATTTCTAAAGAATGAAATGCACAATGTTTGCACAACTTTGATATCAGACAATGAATATAAACAAACTACAATATCGCTTTAGGCAAGCTGGGTCCTTTTAATTGCTAAATTAGAATAAGTGTATCTGATCAGCAATAATTCAGTGCTTTAATGCAAAAGGGAAAAATATGTAAATGAAACTGGTGTTAGCAGCAGTGTCCATTGAGAGAACTTAAAACGAGGAACACATGATGCTGTTACAGCTCATGCAGACAAGAAGAAGCCTCCTCATTGCTCATCAATCATTTTGACTTATTTTAGAGTCCTCCTCCGGGAATAAACAACAGATGATCAGCTGTCAAAACAGTAAGACGGCACAGAGCTGAGTGGATCAGTGAACCACATCTTATTAACAACATGGAAGTTATACAGTCATCACTTCAGTGTCAAATTATATTTACAGATAGGAGCACAAAAAAAAAAGTTTTAATAAGCAGCAAAAAAGGCAAAAAATAAGGAGTCAAGTTCAGGGTTCCTTAGTTTAGTTCATATGGAGAGTGCTTCTCTCACAAGTTCTTTTGATGAAGAGCCTTTGGGGTTGTCATATATGGTGGAAAGTTCTATATTTGTACCTGAGTTTGAAGGCCTAGGGTCGCCGGATGGCCCATGTTGAAAATCGCGGCCTTTCTTTCTGAAAGAGTTCCTAATCCTGTCGGAGATACGGTCCGAAACACGTCTCACGGCCCGACTGAGCTTCTTGTTCTTATACTTGATCAGGCCTACGTCGTCCTCCAACTCCTCTGGTGGAACATCGATGTTCCCAGAGTACCAGAACACCCACCAGATCAGGCTGAGGAAGATGAGGATGGCCCCACCGTAGATAAACACATCGTGAATCACCACCCCGCTGAACACCCCCACCAGGATGATAAGGACGCCCAGTACGTCTTGGACCACTGCGAACCAGAAGGAGCACTTGCAGCGGCCAACTCCTCCGTAGGTCTTCTCCATGACAGGCTCTATCTGCACCGATGTGGACATGATGGCACAGGAGCTCGTCAAACCTGGAAAAATAAGTAATGTGAAACCAGTGGTTGTTGCAGGAGAGGAAAGTTGAGTCCTCAAATGGAATAATCTGCTGTGACTGTTCAAAGTTCAATGTACACTGGTTGTTATCTGTCACTTCAGCCTGACTATATCTGGGGTTTCAGTTACATCATCACTCATAAACACACTGCAGACATATTCCTTGGCTCGCATGCTAAACTAATAACACACATTACCCTGAAAATATCGGTACTACCACTGTGAAACATGGTGGTAGCAGCATCATGCTGAGGGGACACTTTTCCTTGGAGCATAGAACCTGGTTGATGGAGAAACAAGTGGAGTTTAAACCAGAATAATCCTGATAGAAAACCTGCTGGAAACAGAGATCGCACCCTGGCTCAGCCGCCTGCTCTTCGTCTTTTGTCCCTCTACATCACAGGTGTCAAACTGGTTCCAGAAAGGGCCGTGTGGCAGCAGGTTTTCTTTCCAACCAAGCAATAGCTCACCAGACTCCATTCATATCATCAAGTCATCATGTTCAGACTGGACTCCCTTGATGAGATAACTGGAGTCTGGTGAGCTACAGCTTGGTTGGAAAGAAAACCTGCAGCCACACGGCCCTTTCTGAAACCAGTTTGACACCCCTGCTCTACATCATACTCCAGCTCCAAATATCCAAACCAGATCAGAGTGAAGAACATTCCGATTGACCCACCTTAAATTAACACCAATTATGTCACAGGCCACTAAGGAACAGGAGGAACTTTTGCAGATCTGCATACATCGGAACTCTTCTTTTGGACTAAACAGATGAGTAGATCCTCCAAAGTGGAACAAAAAGTAGTCCCAAAGATGACAGGTGATAGGGGAGTATGAAGTTCACTCCCCACAAGAACATCATCACTAACATCACATCATTTCTCATCTCCTACTCAAATCCTTGGCTGAGTCGCCTCCGCCTTTGCTTCTCCTTCAGGATGGGGATCCACACCAGTCCCATCACAACGAACACCAGCCCTATAGACAGGCAAGCTGAAGCCACAGAGCAGGACACATCGGTTACCCCAGCAGAGTGGAGCAAGAAGAGGATTGCACCTACTGCAGACATCAGAGATCCCATCACCATGGCGATTATGGCCTTGTGGAGGAAGGCCCAGCCTGGAGACGCAACATTTTCTGTGTCTTGGTCGGAACACAAGCTCTGACCTCCATTTTCAGGTGAAAGTCCATCGAGTTCCTCCATGACTTCCTGAGAAACCCTTCAATAGGAATCCCTCAGAGCCTCTGCTGTTGTTTGTTCACTTGGGTCCGTTCCTCCCAGCAGTCCCATGAAGAAGCTCTATCATCTGCAGGGGGTGTGCACGATGCCTCATCAGCTACAGTGAACACAATTATGTAATTCCAGAAGGTCCCACACAAAAGAGGCAGGGCCTTGGTCAGTGCACAGAACCGGCCCACCTGTTGTTAACATCATCAGCACTCCCTCACTCACTGGCTTTGTCATTATCCGGTTACATGACACAATCAAGACAGCTCATCACAACATTCTCTCACAAAGGCTCATATTCTGGGCATACTTGAGCTGACTTGGCTGTCTTCCCTACAGACACCAGCTGCACAGGCTGCTCTAAGCTGGACAATTGGGCTGTCACCTGATACAGGCAACAGGTATTCAAGCTCTGACGGCTGTATTTACTAGAAGCAAACAGTTTCCAAGGCTGCAGCATCTTGTGGCACGATAACCCCCCAACCCATCTGTCCATACGTCCATTCATTGTCTGTCAGCTTAGACCAATGATTCCCAAAAAGGGGTACTCGAACCCCTTGTGGTCCGCGACTGCATTGCAAGCGGTAGATAAAAATATTTATTTCTCAGGCAGTAAAATAAAATAGGGCTTAGATCTGTTTTGTTTTGTGAGGACTCAATTGAACAATTAAACAAGTTTTTTCTCATATGTTTGGGTTCACCTTCAGCTTGAACAAACCGGATGTAGAGAACAGCCTGGTATCAGCCGTTTTTCACACTGAGCTATCGGAGCTCATCAAAGTAGCTCAGGTGTTTTGACAAAAACAAAGTAAAACTAATTAATTCAGTCCAAATAACATTTTTGTTCTGTATTTTGTTCCCAATTCAACAAGTTTAAATGTAATTAAATGGGAGTTATTTCTGTATTTATTCTGTATTCTGTATTTATTTTGCTTCTTTACTAACTCCAGGCAACATATTTGTTTTTTTTTTTACTTGAGATGGAAAGAACAAAATGTCTAAAAATTAAATTCTCAAATTAAAAGCCTGAGTAAAATAGTTTTTATTTCATAATCAGTTAGCATACATTCCACTTTTGAACAGTTATCAATAATTTTGATTGAGAAGAGAGCTCATGTCAAGAAAAAATGCCTAAAGGGGTACAAAAGGCAAAAAATGTTGGGATGTCTGATGTCTGAGACCATAGACAGGCTGGTGACTAATTACAACAATCAAAAGGTGAGGGACGCCCCAGATGGGCCAGTTAACCACAGGGCAATAAAGAGGACAGTCAAATACACTTGCACGCACTCATACATTAAGTCAAAGAAAAGATTAATGCACTAAGGAGTCATGTTTTTAGACCTTTTTAGACCTTTTAGGAGTACCCAGAGAGAAACTATGCATAAATAGGGACAACCTCCATGCAGAAAGACCCCAGGCCAGGAATTAAACCCTTCATTCTGCAAGTCATCACTGTTACACAATCCAATGCTGACTGACAAGATGTGGGCTTCTCGATGTCGTTTGATGAGTGGGCCGACCCGAAATATATTTTCCACGGGAGGAAATAAAGTTTGACTCAATAGATCATTGTGGCATCTTACGTCACTCTGGGAATTTTTTTGCTTGTTTCTGGAGTGAACAGATTGTTTCCACACGAAAAAAGAGGAAAAAAAAAGCTATGTTGTTGTGACAACTTCATGATGGAGCTAAAAATACCACATTGTAGCTCTGCACTATTTCTGTCCTGACTCTGGATAATGATTTGTGGCAGGAAAAGTTGATTCTGAATGGCTAACTGTTTTTCTGTTCTTTCTGCAATCATCACCATCTGGCACCAGTGGTGAGCATTACAGCCCTAATTCAGGCAGCTTTTTTTTTAAGGAAAAAATGTATTTGATGACCCATAACCTATAAACAGAAGCTTTTTGTAAGTTAACTCAATGCCATATTTAACCAATATTAAAGAGTTACAGAGTTGAATCATTTCACAATAAGGTGACAAGCACATATCTAATATATATATATATATATATATATATATATATATATATATATATA